TGTAAACTATATAACATCTAGTGTGGTGACTAGTGTAAAGTGTAAACCTCTATCAATAAGAAGTTGAAAGTAAACACTGGCAAATGACACTAACACAGGCCCATTCTAATGACAGAATTATAATGCCTTAATTGAAATAAATTGACTTCAATAAGTGAGATGAAGCACCTATTAGAGGTTTTTTTATATTTACTAAACAGTTTTTCTCTTGGATGCTATAAATAATTTAAAAGTGGCAATAGTATGATTCCAAACTTTACTCAAGACTTTTAAAGAAAAAATCTCCGTATACATGAAATATCCAGAGTGTAGTTCCCTTTCATGGTAGTCACAATTTATCAAAGACAACCATAATAATGTTAAAACATAAGCCAGAGTACAAGACCAAAGAATTGGAGTCCGGTGATCGAGACAAATTTCATGATTTTACGATAGTGCATTCTTTCTTAAAAGAATAATAATTAAACTAAAGGCCTTTTACTACTAGTAGTCTCATGTCATAGACTACTGAAAAGGAAACTACAAATAAATTAGAAATGCAAGTGAAAAGTCACTGACATGTATAGGCACTAAAACTTTTATGTGATAAATTAGAAAAGTCATGACCACTAAACATAAAATAAAACTTTACAAATTGACCTCTAAGATTTACGAAACCAATACACAAAAGAGATAGCATCAAGGTTCCTGATTTTGCATTTCAGAAGCCATACTTCTGAATGAAGCTCTTGCATTATTTCATACACAATACATATAGACGTGTCAAAACAAGTAAAGGCATTACTCATAAAGAAGCAACTGAAAGGCTAACTGTCCTTAATGAAGCACCACTACTGCTTCCAGTTCCACCATCACTGCCACCAGTACCACTCCCACCACCTTATGAGCTAAGGCCCTGAATAGATAAGCAACTGAAGAATCTGCCGAGAAAAGAATCAGAATTAAAAAAATACACAACTTTAACAAATATTAATGTTAAGAAGAAATAGAGCATTCCCATGAAACCAAACATCAAGAAATATTAAAACAATCTACTAGAACACCTTTATTATAAAAAAAAGGTAAAATATGTTTTTGTTCCTGTTCCTTCGAAAACATTTCTAGTTCGGTTTTAGTACTTCTAAAATTTTGTCCTATTTTAGTCCCACAAATTTGGAAATGCAGTTTTTTTATCTCAAAAGTAGCTTAAATAGCAACTTAAAACAATTTTTAAGCACTACCTAAGTACTTGGAGGACTAAAAGTGATGAATTTTTAAATTTGGGGACCGGAATAGAACAAAAAAAAATCAAGACTAAAAGCAAATTTTGATAATTTTAGAGGGACTAAATATATGTTATCATTATCCAAGTGACATATAAGAAAGCTGCAAGACATGTAATAATCAGTAAGGTCACTAGAACAAGACTTTTGCCCAAGTATTTCTTTTGTATTGATTTGAATGCTGCTGAACAATCCTCCGATGTCATTGTACCCAGTCATACCTAGCAAATCATTGTCTTCAGACCTAGAATAGAAGAGAGTTCAGACGAAAAAAGACTTTAAACCACCAAAACATGCAATAAAATTGGGATTTAAAGAAACTTATAATCAAAAATGTTGACAACATACCTCCAAACTAATCTGACAATATAATGAACATTGTTCATGAGAAAAAGATATGTCAATGCAAGGTCTTTATACCGCTTTGATCTTCCTTCTAAATTTGTTTTCAAGCTTCCATTATGTGCACTGTTACAGATCCTAGCAATGAAGAATCATCACCACTTTCAAATTCCTCAAAGAGTTGCTTCAAGGTGGATTGGAAGCTGCAAAGTTTAAAGAATTCTGATCAGGTCAAATATGTGAAAAGTACACAAGCTTGAGCATTATCCTTCTTACAAAGGGAATGAAAACTGAACTTAAAGAAATTATTTCACTTAAATATAAAAATATTAAATAGAAGCATGGTACGGTACAATTCCCTCATAGACATCATCATTTTATAATAAGGGAGATAAAACTCCAGTTCAAATAGTTGGAAATCTTTGATTAGCTCGCTCAAGACAGATCTAATCACTCATTATTTTCTAGTTCTATAAAACAATGAAAATACATATATATGTACCACATATCTTATTAAAAATAAGGAGAAAAGGCCTTTAGTTGTCATCTTGTAATTCAATTTTTTTTAACTACAAGAGCACGAAGAGAGAGTTAAAACTATCCAAAACAAATTTCAGTGTCACTTAATTATTATTTAGGAATTAAAAACAAATCAATATCCTTCATCACAAACACAATCACAAATCACAATTCACGTTTGTAAAAATCCAAAAAAAAAAAAAAAATCAGCTAAAATAAGGACATTTCATTAATCCACCACTCCACGCACACTCACCAATAACATCACCATTGCATGACTTTAATTTTTACCTTCCATCGGCACATGGTCACCAGAGTGAGGAACAAAGAGAAAAACCCTAACAAGCAACAAAGACAATCAAGAATTAAAAAGAAATGAAACAAGAAATTGATTTGAAAAGTAAAGAAGCACAAACAGTTCGTAACATCACTTTACTTTCTACCTTCCATCTACACAACGTCACCAGATTGAGAAACTGTAATATCCATATCCACCGGTCTTTGCACCGCACAAAAAGAAAAACCCTTTCCAGCAACAAAGACAAAAAAAAAAATCAGAAACAAGTTAAACGAGAATCAGAAACAAATGAAACAAGAATCAGAGAAGATGCGGTGCATAACATCACTTTAATTTCTACCTTTCAAAGAAGGTCACCAGCGAGGTACGGTAAAATTCATGTCCACCGTTTCTGCACCACACAAAAAGAACAAGAATCAAAGAAAAACTCTGACAAGTAACAAAGACAAAGAAGAACAAACAAGAACAAGAAAAGAGTCTACAGAAACAGAAGAAAAGGGGTAGCTTTTCGCAATCCGACAATAAAGAAGGGAAAGACTCTTCGAAAAGAGAATCTTGACACCGGAAACTAATGAAGCGTAAGAGAAGAGAGTGACTGTGGAGAGTGGAAATGAGGGAGGAGAGTTGCATATAGAGTGAGAGGAGAGAGTAACACAACATTTATATAGAGAGAGGAGACGGTCACGACGAGCACAATATATAATCTTTTAAATAAAACACTTAATAAGTTTTATTTAAAAATATTAAAATATTTATTTATTTATATTTTGATTCTCAAATTTTTTTAAATTAATAAATGTTCATTAACATGAATAAAAATAAAACATTTTTATGATGTTTTTAATATTTTAATTTTTAAAAATAAAATACAAACTTTATTAGAATTATCCTTTAAATATATATGACATTACCAGTTTAAAATTTTTCATTTTGTTTTGTTAAATTGTTTATGTTATGTTTCTATTCAATATTCTATTTTTTTTATATATAATTTAGCAAAATATATAATCTTCTATATTATCATATTTTTTATTAAAAAATTAAATAAATCTTCACAAAATTAATTAAAAAGGACAAATAATTATTTTTGTTTTTTTTATTTTATCACTAAATAAAAAAATTTAAAAAAATGTTATAAGTATGTTCATGAAAATCGTATAAAATTAAATTTAAAATTAATTTTCATTTGTAAATAGAAGAATGTCTATTTTTATTTTACATGAATAAAAGACAATAATGATAATCAACACAAAATTAGAAGAAAACGAAAATAGAAAAATATAAAGATATTATTAATGAGAATATATATATATATATATACGAAATAGGTACATTAAAAATGAATAAGCACATTCTTTAGTAAACATACATTAATTATCAAGGATAAAAATAAAAAATAAAATTAATAAGTCATTAGTTTTAGAAAAATGACAATGAAAAAAAAACAAAAAAATAATGTCAAAACGACTATGAATAAAAAACGGAGGGAGTATCATTAATGATGCAATATGATTGAATTTAATTAAATAGAAAACTTAAAGAGGTTAAAATCATTGTATTAAATATGACTCATATATCAATGTAAATATCAATTATATTTAATAGGACTTTTATTACCCAATTTCTCACATAAGTTTTTTTTTATCTATGCATTGAGAAATTGGTTAACTGTAACCAATTTCTCAATTTTGGTTTTTTTTTTTTTAATATGATTGAATTTAATTAAATAGAAAACTTAAAGAGGTTAAAATCATTGTATTAAATATGACTCATATATCAATGTAAATATCAATTATATTTAATAGGACTTTTATTACCCAATTTCTCACATAAGTTTTTTTTTATCTATGCATTGAGAAATTGGTTAACTGTAACCAATTTCTCAATTTTGGTTTTTTTTTTTTTAATATTTAATCAGATTGCCATTTCTTACCTTTTCTCCTTCGTTGCTTTTAGTTTTTAGGACTTGGCAGTATCTTTTTGTTTTGCTGCTATTCATATGGACGTTTTCCTTTTTCCAGGCATCCATATTATAAGAGTATAATCTTTTGTCGCAAGTATCTGAAAATCAATAACAAACCGGAGTCACACATAAAAAAATCATTTTATTAATAAACTAGATGTTAAATTTAGAAAATAATTTAGGGAAATTGCAGCTTCATGCAATATGATCAATTTAATCCAAAACCCTAGCAACTTTAAAACAAGAATTCAAAACCTTAGAAACAGATAATCAAAAGCAATCTACAATCGTCTCTGAATTGAATAGACAAAAGAAGATAAAGAAAAGCATATTAGGAGGCAGAAGAGGCATTGTGTTGCGAAATAAGTAATAGCCAATTAATAGCATGTTTATATAAGTTGTGAAGATATAGAAAATAATTATTTTCATAAATTTAGAATCGGACGTGGAAAGAGAAGGAAAACTTAAGTTTAATAATTAAAACTAAACACACACTAGTTAGTTGTATGTGCCTATGCTTATAAAGAACGAATGAACAACCCAAGATTTTTTTTTTTCTGACGGTCTAATTTTGTTTTAAATTTTTTAATGGATAATTTTTAGAAAAATTATGGGAATAAGTTATAATAATTTTATTTTGTGTTTAATTTAAATTTATGTCCATGTATTTAATTTAAATTTATGTTAATTGTAATATATCACTTTATATTATTATTATGATATTTATCTTATAATTAATTAATAATAAATAATAATTATTGATATA